TTGAATGCTTCTTTGAGGGTCTATGTTCTTTTATTTCCGAATGCCTCCCTTGTGGGCTGTTTTAGCTGTTGTTTGGTGGGTTTAAACATTGCGATTTTTAGGGTTTTGCCTACTGATTCACGTACTATTGTAGAGCTAATTTATTAACTGATTTTGGAGCATTTACACACTATCTTGGACTGGATTTCCTAGCTGATTTTGAGACATTTAAAATTGATGTTTTGAGCTTACATGAGAGCTGTTTGAGAATTTTAAAATTACTGTTTAAGGGCTGATTTTGAGAGTTTTGTCCACTGTTTTGGGTTTCAATTGATTGTTATTTAAAAGCTTTTAGGTCGATTCACTCGTTGTTTTTCCCCTTGACTTTACTAGTTTTGGAAGTGGGTCTGCCTTATCGTTCTTTGTTTATTTATTTTTAAATGGTTAAGTCATAAAGATGGGAATTGATGATTTAATTAATTGGAAGATATAGAAAACTCTAAGTCACCTTAAGCATAAGTTAAAGTGTAGGTTTCCTACATTTTAGGAGCATATCCTAGGTGAGAGCCCATCCACCTAATCCTCAATGTAGACTTCCTAGACTTTAGGTGCACACCCTAGGTGAGAGTTTATCCCCCTAATCCTCGTTTTAGGCTTCCTACACTTTAGAAGCACACCCTAGGTGAGAGCCCATCCACCTAGTCCTATGTTTAGGCTTCCTACACTTTAGAAGCACAATCTATGTGAGATTCCATCCACCTAAATCTCAGCATAGACTTCCTAGATTTTAGAAACATACCATAGGTGAGAGTACCTCCACCTAATTCTCAGCACAGACTTCCTAGATTTTAGGAGCACACCCTAGGTGAGCGTTCATTCACCTAATTTTCAAATGAAGAAAGAAACACGTCACTAGAGCCTGATTCACGAATTGATCATGACACTAGACACCAGGATGCACCGAGGCGTGACCCATGCTTCCTTAATTAAATCAACAGTGAAATTCCCTCAATGACTTAACCTACAATAAAACCCAATGCATCGGGATTTGAGCTTGTTTATTACACTCAAATCC